CCTCGCTGATATAGGTAAGACTGTACCTTCATATTTTAAACTGTTCTGTGGTTAATGGTGTAAATAAACCAGTCATATTTCTAAAGTTCACTGAAGAGAGTAACTTAAATTTTATACATTTTTTCAATAATAAATATACATTTTTGTTACTATATTTTAGAATACATTAAGGAAGACCATATTACTGAAGAAGAATGTACAAGTTCTAAAAGACACAAAAGGTAATTTTCATCTATGAGCTGATAGAAATGTGCTTCAGAAGAAATTGAAATCTGTACTGGAAGTCTGAAACAGAACCAACACTGTAATTAAGCACATGTTAAATTACATTGATGATTATTAAATTCTCACAAAACCATATACCTCAGGTTCAGGTAGGTAAACTGCATTTGCAATGTATTTTTATGAGAAAGAAGTCAAGGATACAATGCCTTGAGAGAAATTACCACTCGAATCATCATGACATGAGAGCTATGCTATAGAAATGTAATTCCATTTATTTCATATTACCTATATTATTAAATGTATACACGTTGTTGAGGTGATAAGCATATCTTCAAACTTTCTATTAAGTAAATACTCCATGGAAAAGTTAATGTTACTCAAGTACTTGCTGTTACTTTTGTAAGTTTAGTGACAGCAGCAATTATTGTCAAGAGTTAAGGGGCAGTTAGTGCAGGGAAAACTTAATATCATTAGAACTTATCTATAAGGAACAGAAAGTCAAATTGAATTAAACGTTGAAGCCTCTTTATAATCTTTACGTTACTAGATATATAATATATTAGCATACAAATCATGTCAGCAAAGGGATATGGACCACATGGTATATTTCTCATTCAGGACATTTGAAAGTCATGTAGTAGTCCCCATTTGAGCATACTAGTCGAATTTGGTTCATGTGTACACGTAATTTGTTATGCAACTTCACTGATAATACACCAACAATCTCCCTCTGGAGTAAATCCCAATGACTCTATTACTGTGTAAATACATCTGTTTGTTGTAGGTCATTAGCAAATGTAGTATGACTCAAAGTGCTGGAAAATTAAAATATATCATAAAGGTGATGAAGTTCTCAATTTTTTTAGTTTTCTTCAATATGTGAAAAATCTGTCATAGAAAACGTTTCTAAATATGAGAAGATTGTAAGATCTTTTTTCTTTACAATTTAAAAAAAATATAATATAAATTAATGTAAGCTTCAAGATCCAACATATTATCGAATATGGTAAAGCATTTATGTATACTCATTTTCCTTGCAGGCATGAAAGAAGTCAAACTGGAGAGAGGTCTTCTGAACATACACGATGTGTTAATGCCTTCTCATATAACAGTGATCTTCAAAGGAATAAAAGAACACACACTAGAGATCAACCCTATGAATGTAATCAATGTGGTAAAGCCTTTTCTTTTCATAGTCAACTTCAAAGGCATAAAAGGTCACATACTGGAGAAAAACCTTATGAGTGTCCTCAGTGTGGTAAAGCCTTTTCTCGGCACAGTGCCCTTCAAATACATAAGAGGACACATACGGGAGAGAAACCCTATGAATGTACTCAGTGTGGTAAAGCCTTTTCTGAGCACAGTTCTCTTCAAAGGCATAAGAGGTCACATACTGGAGAGAAACCCTATGAATGTAATCAGTGTGGTAAAGCCTTTTCTCAGCACAGTCACCTTCAAAGGCATAAAAAGACACATACTGGAGAGAAACCCTATGCATGCACTCAGTGTGGTAAAGCCTTTACTCAGCACAGTCATCTTCAAAGGCATAAGAGGTCACATACTGGAGAGAAACCCTATGAATGTACTCAATGTGGTAAAGCCTTTTCTCGGCACAGTGACCTCAAAATGCATGAAGGAACACATAAAGGACAAAAGCCTTATGAATGAAATCAATGTGGTAGAATCTTCACATTTCAAAGCACTGTTAATGGGCATAAAAAAACACATACTCTAGAGAAACCATATGAATATTATCAATGTGTAAAGCCTTTGCTCTGCAGATTCATCTTCACATACAAAAGAACTCATAATGGGGAGAGACCCTAAAATTGCAATCACTGTGATAAGTACTTTGCATGCCAAGTATTTCTTGAAACCCATAAAAGAACACATTCTATAGACAACCCATTTTAAATTGATCAGTATGGTTAAGCTTCGGCATGTGCCAGGCATCTCTGAAATCATTACAAAAAATCATTCAGCAGGGAAACTATGAATGTAGTCAGTTGGGTTTAATTGTGCACTTCATAGAGGAGGAAAATTTATGGTCAAATGTTAGAGCCTTTGTAAATTACAATCATTTTTGAGTACCTGAAAAGGTTAATGAGGCTTCTCATTATCAAGTATTTGGTGGAATCATTCACAATCACACTTCCGATCAGTTTGACAACAATATTTATTCTGTTGAAGGAAATTAACAGTGTCAACAATCTGTGTAAGCATTGTCATGTGCATGTTTATATTGTTGTTCCAGCACACACATCAAAAATGAATATATGAACTTATAAAGCCTTTTGCTTAGGGTAAAAGTGCCAGCAAAGAAACACTACCTGACCCAGGAACCAATTCCAGTGAAACAATCAGATTATGGCCCTCAAACTGCAGGCAAAGAAACTCACCCTTAAACAAGAGTCAAATACTTAAAAAGGGCCAGTGAAAGAAATACACTTTTGCCCTGAAACCAAAGGCAAAGAAACAAACTCTATCTCTGACCAGCTGAGGAAAAATCCAAGCAATACCTAAGCTCAATGCCACCCAATCCCTAAGCAGTAGTCCAGCCAAATCTCAAATGTTTTTACACCTCAGGGACTGAAGTTTTACCAATTAACATGCTGAGAAATATTCTCTATGAAACACCTATTCCCCTAAGAATACATATATAAACCCTATGCTAGTTCAGTTGTCAGCTCACATTTTCCACACTGATAGGGGCAGTTGCTTTTCTGGATGACTCCCTTCCAAATAAATCTGTTCAGTATGTTTCTGTGAATGAATTCTTTTACCACAGTGGATACAGAACTCTCCATAGAAGCAACATATACCCCTGATGGTAATCTCCCTTAGGGGAATAAAGCAGAAGAAAAAAAATTTCACTGGTGCTACATTTCTGGAGCTGTTTTCCCCACAGTTTAGTCAAGCAGAAGAGTGACAATTTGTACTGGACCTAAGAAGAAATGGTTACCTTATTGGAAAAGACAATTGAAGAAGCAATGGACATTTATTCTGGTAAACTCTTAGCAGAATGGAACAAAGATCACTTGTAATAGTCTCTCTCTAAGTGGAGCAGGAGTGCTACATAATGCCTGGAGCCCACCCCCCACTGGAACACAACTTCATATAAACTTCCTGACAGTCAGAACACCTTTGTCCTCAGAGCTTTGGTTTTTTTCAGGATACGTTCCCTTCACAGCAGCATGTGTAGCCTGACAATGGACATTCAGGATAGATTTTTCTTTAGATCTCTTGGTATCCAGGATACATTTTCTCCAAAGATTCAGTAATAGTATGACTTCCCAAAAGTCAGGATACCTTTCTCTTCAGAGATGTAGGTATCCAGGCCATTCTCCCTTTATAAATGAAGGTATAGGCTGACTTATGACATTAGGGATACATTTCCCTCCGTAGCTGTTACATTTGCACTGTGATTTTAAATGATACTGTATCGCCTTTAGATTTATGCTTCTATTCAAGTACATTAACTAACTACAATGAATTAGGTGTAAAACTTACTAATTTGTATTGTTTTCTCTCCTCTTTTTGTTACAATATCTTTGTCACCTTATAAAAGATTTAATTTGGCCCTGCTTTCCAGAGGGATGCAGGGGCATCATTAAAATTTGCATGACACCTAAATCAGGGGTCTAAGCACTCACATCCCTAAGCTTCAGCATGAGGCAGAGAGTAGGAACTCATTTTAGCAGTCATTGAGTTGGGGGTTATATTTTGAAATATTTGGGGTGTGTGACAAAAAGTGCTATATTTGTGGAAAATTCACTTAGTAAAGTTTACTTTGTTGTCCTTATATTTCTCCTGTGGCTTTGTTCAATTTGTACATTTGCTTAATGATAGGTATTTTTCTGCTGAAATGTATATAATGTTACCCCATTCATCTAAGTGGTACCTTTTTTTCTTAATTATCAGCAGTGTGAGATCATATTTTTCCAATAACTGTTCATCTGAAAGTGTGGTGGTTTGTTGTTTCTGGGTATTTTTTCCATATTTTCACAAGTACTGTTCATATTTTCATGTGTATTAGCAGCCTGGCTTGGGTGTCTGTAATGATGAGGGATACATTTGAACTCATGATCATCATGGGTCTGCCTCCTGATTACAAATCCCAATGTAGGTGATATATTCCC